GTTGATACCATATGATGATCTCAATATGTTCATGTTAATATTCACATAACTTGAGACTAGACATCCTGGTCAAGTCTCTAACCCTAGTGTATCTCATGGAATGAGCAAACTGCATCAGTGTAATGGAATATATTGAGTGAACATTTGTGCTCCATATTGTGCAACTTCATACACAAAAAAAAAGGAACCAAGGGATAACATCAGCCATGCAGTTTCCACCATTGATGTCATTACTCTGAGTGTTTCTAAGTACATTTGAGATGTACAGCAGTGTTGCAGTAGATGACCAATTTTGACATCATCTATGATAGTGATATCAACTGTTGGCTTCTGTGTTTTTGCTAAACTACAGACCACAGCTACTTTCTTATGTGCCATGCACCATGGCTCTACAATGTCAATTGATGCTAGGGACAATAATAAAGTTGCTAGGAAAATATTAGATAATTAATGTATTTAAATACATATCATATTTTGATTTCATTGCTATAATAGCAAATTAAAAACAGCTTTTATTTATGAAGTAACTTCTTTAACATAAGCTGATACTCTCATAAGTGAAACAAAAAGAATAATAGTGATTCGTTATTGTTCTCAAAACAAATCGTAAGCTTATATAATAAGATATGTCCAAAAAAATCAAGGAAATTAAGCATTTTCAGAAAATTTCAGAACAACAAATACTAAGATTTATTTTATCATTACAAGTGCACTATGAATATAATTTTTTGCAATAAATTAAATCAGTTTTAATATCAAAACATGAAATATGTAGAATTGTAAAAAATGAAAGGTTTCCATAATGTTTATGGAATTCCATAACATTTGATAGTTAATTTAATTTCTGCAACCAGTTAACTTTCATTTGGTCTGATAGCATCAGGTATGTGATGCTTCATTGAAGTAACAAGTTTCTGTAGTCACTTCTGATACACTCTCCCTACACTTCACAGTTTCTGATTTCAGTTCTGCACAGAAATACTGCTTTTTATTTGTATATATATGCGAGATGCTAGGGAGTGTTAGATTCAAAACCCCACTTTCGTGACACCAATATGTGAACCACAGGGGAGGTCAGAGGTCTCCCAGTTTGCGTCACTAGTCAGGATGACAAGTCAGGCGAGTGAAGGGAAAGAATTTTCGGGGTCGATGATAAGATGAAGGGCGTGATCGAGTAAAGGAGTCTACCCTTTATAACAAATATAACAACAATTTATTAAAATAAGCCAAATNATAATAATAATAATAATGTGTAAAATTGCAATTGCAAATGTTTTCATAAAACATATGGCTATTGTGCAAATAATGCATCACAGTGATTGAAGATATCTTACTGGCATACTTTTGCTGTAAAATTTGTACCATTATAAACATACCATAAAAATCACAACTGAAAAATAAACTGTGTATAGGACACTGATGTGCTTGATTGCACGGGAAATGTCTTACCTTCAATCTCTGTATTATCTGTTCAGCCATCCTCCACATTATGTCAGATAATTGCAAGTCTACTGTAACTTAAAATAAAAATTTAAATCTTAATACTGTATATTCTTAATTTCCACAACACTACCTTATCTCAATGAGAATTATTTATTAACTTTAACAAACATTAAAGTTAATATATTCAGCAAAATGGCTTTGTGAATAAAATATCAACATATTTCCACAAAAAGATCTAATATGAAATCTTTATTCAGACACTTCCAATTTTTTTTAAAGTCTCCATTCTTTGATTGTGTTGGCCAATTCTATTGTGGTTTAAACCTATTCATAACATATGTACTGTACATATGTATATGTGTATGATATATATGTTACTGTGAAAGACAAATATCTGGCAAATGTCGAGATTCTCTGGTGAATATCAGCATTCACACAGTCGTTTCGTGTATGTACAAAATATTTGCTAAATATCATTATTTCTCACTTACACCAACAAATGTTGACATTCAGCATGCACTGATGGTGAACATTGAATAAATATGACAAAAATGCAACTTTTTAATATGTCAAAATAAGAGAAAGCTTAAGTAACAGCACATGTAAATAAACTGTTGAACCTAAAACAGTACATTCTTAATCAGAAAAAAATAATACGCAATAGTAAACTTACACATATATTATGTGATTAACATTATACAATCTTATTTATTGCAACAACTTAAACTGTTATGACACTTTAAATTTCACAAGAGTTCCTTGCTTTTACAATTGCATTTATTTGTGGAACACTTCTTTTTGCAATGACAGCGTGTATAGCCTTGCTCTCCACTGTTCGTATTATCTGCAGCTGCTTCTTTCAGCGATATTTCTTGAGAAGAAATCTCATCTATGGAAAGTAACTTTTCTTTACAAATTACGAACTGATTGCGGGTATAAAGCTGCTTGAGGGTACCTTTTTTGTTTGCTAATTTATAAAAGTTGTAGTCTTCCATTCTAACAACAACTGCCAACACATTTTGGGCATCTGTACAGGTACGGTCGACATCAGGGACTTGTATTTGTACAGTATCACAATTTGAGCAGGAGGAAATTTTCTTTTTGAGGTTTGTAACATTTTCATTGCTTGCCGTAGAAGATTCTCTTTTGCAGCTGCTTTTTTTATAGAAATAAATTCATGTTGTTCAGTCAGGGCTTGAAATGAAGACGTGGTGGGTTCAGCTTCTCTTCACTATTTTCCTTTGGAATATGGTATTTGTTATGGCCACTACTCAAATTTCCTTCAAAAGTATTAACAATTTCTTCGAGCTGTTCTTTGGTTTTTCAATATTTGCGATTTGTTTGCCAGGCAAAGATGATGATGCTATGCCTCTTTTTGGTTTAACGCCAAACATGGCTTCATAAGGACTTTGGTATATTCCTTCATCATATGTAGTGTTCTTGGCAAATTGTACAAAGGGCAAACAAACCATCTGACCATTTATTTGTATCATTATCGTTCATTCATGCAGTTAACATATTCTGTATATCCTGATTGGCTCTTTCAACTGAGCCTTGTGTTTGACTATGATGAGGTTTTCCATGAACAATCTTAACATCTTTCCACATAGCGCATAGTTCGGATATGACTTGATTACAGAATTCTCTACCATTATCTCAATGCAATATAGCTGGGACACCAAATGTTAAAAATATTTGAAGAAGATGATATTCTACTTCTTCAGCTGTCTTAGTTTTCAAAGGTAGTAGCTGAACAAATTTCATTAAATGATTTTGATACACCATTATGAACTTATGTTTGCCATCCTTGTGACTACAAGTGTATCAGATCAACTTGACATCTTGAGTTTAACTTCTAACTGACCATTGGTTTCACAACAATACCTTTTTTAGGTGCAATATGTTTCATTTGACATTGTTTACATAAATTTAAATACAACGTTACAACTTCATATGTAATATTTTGTATTTAAGTTACAATTCTTTAAGCATATGTGTTCTTCCTCCATGGCCTGTTCTGCTATGAGTTTGAGATAATATACTGAACAATTTATCATTGGTAACAAAATACTGTATATTCGTTTCTCCTGGTTTTAATTTCTCTTCTTCATTAATTTTTAAAACATCAAAACGTTTTAATTGTTTGTAATCCAAAGATGTGCTGCACTTAGTTTTAGCAGAAATCACTTCAGAAAGTATTTTAGAGTATTTTCTTGAGAAAAATAAAAACAATTATCTTATCGTTTACTTGCAATTAATGCATGTAACTTTTCAAAAAAAGTTCTTGGTTCACTGCAGTATCCATTTAATACAAATTAAGGTATCGGATAAAAAAAAATAAAATTTAAGAAAACGTTGCACACACCAACAAACCGTGCATAAGACTGACAAACAGCAGTGTTCCAGAATATAACAAATAGATACCATGTGATTCAATTGTGGCAGAACAAAGGATTTGGCGACAGACTGTCGCCTTTCTGTCGACATCGGCTTCTCGGGTGTCATTTCGATCTCCATCAAAGCTTATCTGTGCTTGTCGACATACTATGGCAATTGTTCGAATGTATAATAATATAATCAAATATTTGGTCTTTCACTGACATGTTTTGTATATGTTGACATTAACTGGAGAATATTGACGTTCTCTAATTTTGGTCTTTCATGGTAACACATATATACGAGGGCTGTTCAAAAAGTATCAGACCTTTGGTCGGCAAAAATACATTTAGTGATTTTGAGGTACAAAACCCTAATCCCCTTCAAAGTAGTCTCCTTGGTAGTGTATACACTTCTCCCAGCGTTCCTGCCATTGCTGGAAACACTGCTGGAATGCATCTTTTGGAATGGCCATCAGCCGGTCCGTCGCATGCCGCACGATGTCTTCTCTCGACTAAAATCGGGTTCCTTTTAGCGGCATTTTCATCTTGGGAAATAGCCAAAAGTCCTACGGAGCCATGTGGGGAGAGTACGGGGAGTGTCTATGGAAAGCCCCTGTTTGGGCACACTTTGTGAGTTAATCATCAGACAACTGGAAAATCAGGCATTAGCCATACAATGTTCATAAAGTTACAAAAATTGAATAATAATTGCTTTTTATCTATAGCCACCATGGGCAAATACAGCTCCAAAATCCGCATGTGGCTCTTTTTGAGTTACATGCAGCTCTTGCTGAAAGTGTTAATTTCTGCTTTTTATTATTATTTTTACAATTTTATTTTCACAATTTTGTAAAAATATGTTTATTAAAAAAATTCAATATTTGTTTTATATAATATTTATATTATATAATAAAATCGCGGTACAGAACTGCAGTACAGAGTAAAAAAGTACAGAAATGCGGCTCCCATGCATTTTGCAAATCCTACACTTTGGCTCCCACTGAACTCTTGCTTGCCCACCCCTGATGTATAGAAACAGTTTCAGTTCCTTCTTACATATTTTTGAATTCAAGAAGCCCTTTAGATAAAAGATATCATCTGCTTTTGGAAGCAGATGATATCTTTTATCTAAAGGGCTATCTATCTTAATTTGTAGACCCTTTTATGTTTTTGATTGAAATGGATAATGCCATCATAGACTTAGGATTAGTGTCTGTTGAATTGAGAGTAACTATGTGTTGTATTTTAAAAAGTTCCTATCATTTGTGTGTATTAAAATAACTTTTCCTTTTTTTATTACAGGAATATAAAAGGTTCCGTATTTTACTGATTGATAAGCCTTTAGATCCTAGATACTGCAAAAAGGTAAGTTATACATTATATGATTTATATATATAAACATCTCAAAGTCTGATGTATTGATACTAAACCAAATTATTGCCATAATTAATCGGGCTAGTTTTGCTACTATTAATAATTAAAAATTAAGGAGTAATTTAGCACTAGAGGTAGCATTAGGTTCCATCTCTTAACGAAATTAATAATTATAATAATTTAATATATATTAAATAATATAGAACAGTCTGGAAGAAAATGTGAGGTACCAGACGGAAGCCGCTTTGAAGGTCTGAAGGTGACCACTCTATCGAGAAATAAAGAGCTCCATTTTCAGACATGAGTAGGGAGAATTAAATGTCCTGATTGAACAATGAAAGTTTTTATTAAAACAACAGAAAAGACTAAAGGCAAGGGGGAAACGCGGCTGGAGAGGAGTCGTATTTGCAAAACTGACTTCTCCCTCAAATCGATTTCAAATTGTCACCAGGTGATGGGTAGAGACCAATGAAAAGGCGGCTTTAAGGAAAAAATTGATAAAACCACACAAATCAAGGACATGACGTTCTTGGTTTGTAGTGCTCTTCGCCTGGATTTTTGTGATCCAGCCGTTCTCACACGTGAGCTTGTTCAACATATGGAGACTTGTCTTTGCTCTCCTGTGCCATCAAGATCGCCCAGGTACACCTTGTTGCAAGAAGACATCTCTACAAGTTGTGCTGTGTGCCCCGGGGCCTCGTCACAACCTCCCAAACCATCAAAGCATCGACTGACTGCCCCGGGACCAACAACTTAACATTCCAGAGCCACCAGAAGACAAGACACTAGATTGTAAGACTTAGTATAAATAAACGGGTTTGTTTGTCACTGCAGCTTTCACTCTTCACACCACGAAGAAAAACAACAATCAGAACATTTAGACTTTTGTACTAAGATTTTTGAACTTGAACATTTGGACTTGATTCCCACCTTTTGGAGAGGTGTTATGCCTTTTATAGGATTTGTAGTAAGGAAATTTTTATATTTATTAAACAGGTTACAATGGAAAGCCTGCCTCAGTGAGTCTTTTCCACTCCCACATGACAGTAAAGACCACTCAATTGTCCTGATATTTCTACCACAGTCGGCTAATTTCACAAAAAGCTGCCCAAAGCTGGATTTGAACCTTCAACCTCTGCTTACTGTGCAGTATGTTACTCAGTTAAACCAATCAGACCTCTGAGCGATTCTTTTTTTCTGGACATATTTTAATCTTGATATAACTATTAACAATTACTGACAACGGTGACTGGGGGCAACTCCTATGCCCACAGCCTATGTACTCTTCAACTATGGCACTTAGCCAGCTATCACTTTACAACATATAATATAGGCATAGGTGTTGTTCCTAGTCACTGCTGTCAGTAACTGTAAATGGTTATAATAAGATTTATATAACTAAATTTATTAAATATTTAATTATATAAACAAAATTAGTTTTCTTTAAATAATAAGGAATTTCTAGCAGAAAAGTAACAAAAAATACACAACCTAGTTAAAAATTAAAACTATATTTTAAAAATTAATTTAAATTTATATAATTTGTAAAAAGAAAAATTCTACTTGTAAGTACTATTTTAACATGACACTTACATTACCAATATGTAAAATGTGATTTAAACAGTTGAAAGTATTGTTAAATAACAAAATATGTGACAACTGTAGTATGTAAGATTTGTATTATGCTGCTGAGAATTTTATTATCAGATATTTTGTTATAAAATGAGAGAAGACATTATATAATTTAATGGTAAAAGGCTTTATCTCAGATTAACATTTTCAGAATCTACAGCTTCATCTTCATATTATATTTTAATGTTAGTTTGTTCAGTCTGTTAGAATGTAACTGATCCAAACACTAATGTTTGGATTTAGATTAATGGATCTTGAATTAAGAATTACAGATTCCAAAAATGTTAATTCAAAATAAAGCCTCTTTTCGACTCCTTTTAGTTAGTCATAAACTATGGAGTCATATAATTAAGTGAAAGGATAATTTGACAATTTAAATTACAAATTATCTATTTGGGGATGGACATTATTTGGGTCCTAAAATACATTTTTTTTTTGTCAATTAATGTAGACAAAGATTGACAGAAACTGAATTTCAGTTTAATTCTAAATTGAAAAATTTCTTTTAGTATGTTGTTGACAAATGAAATTTTAAGCTAAATGATTGCCAAATTATATTGGGCTATATTACTATTATTAACTAAATAATTATTAATTTGACATTACAGATAGATGTTAAGTGCCATCTCTTGCTAAATTTAATAATTATAATTAAATTATATTTTAATAATTAATATAGAATGTTCTGGAAAAAAGAATTGACTTGAAGCAGAATTTGAACCAACAACTTCTGCCTACCATGCAGTTGCACTACCCAGACCTTTGTCTGATCCTCACTTCCAGAACTTATTACTTTATGTATAACTATACTTGTGGTGCTGACTGAAGATGACTCAGTGCCAATAACTATCACTATGACATCAGCCATCTATCACATCTACCTTGGCACATATATATATTCTTTATTCTGGTATTCCAAAGATGGGGAATGGTATTGAATAAAATCTTTATACAATTGAATAATTATCAATTCTTGTATTAAATTTTTTCATAAACTTTTTTGAAATTGTATTTATCATTACATTTGCTATATGAAATGTCTTTTCCAATTTCATAATTTTTATGACAACTGACAATTTGTTACAGAAACAAAGTTCAAATATACAATATATTGTAATTTAGAATTCTATACTGTCTTGTAAGTCACAGCTTTTGACATATTCAACAAACAGTCAATTCTAATCAATTGCCTATTTAAAGATTAACAGGTTCAGAGGAAATATTTTACTCAATTTAAATGTACATGTTTTCATTTAATGTGTTTTATTGCATTACATTTTCATAAAAGAAGTAATAGTGGATTGTCAAAATTACCTTTTATGTTTATAATATGGCAAGCTGAATTTTATATTGTTTGCTTGTATGTTTAGTTTGTGAGCTATTTAAAGATGTGTTTTTACAGACAAAACTTTTCAATACTATTGTCACTCCCTAATTATCATAAGAAAGACAAAACTGCTAATAGTTCAAGGAATTGCTATTTACTATGATTAAACTTTGGGATGATTTGTGTCATTGTTGTATCAAAACTAAAAGGTCAAATTTGTTGAAGTGCTAATAAGCATAGAACAGCAACTAACTCAAACATAAACAACTTTAAGTATCTCTTAGAGTACTTCCTGTACATCCTAAAATATAACATTTGTCTTCATAATTTAAAAATATATTTTGAATTTGAAATAATTTAGCATTTATTTTAAGTAAGATTAATATATATATATACACACACATATATAATGTAAAAATTAAAAACTAATAATGTTTTTTTTCTTTTCAAGAATAAAAGCACTGTGGATTTTGCTTCTCAGAATAATTTCATTTCAGAGTAAGTATATATTTTAAATATTCATTTTGATTTCTGAATTCTTTAGATTCAAAGTTATTCAAACAATTTTTGATTGTCTGTAACTATAACAAATAAATGAAGTACTTCAGGATGCATTGTATTGAGTTATGTGAGTAGCAACATGAACATATTGAGAACATCATGTCACGTTTAATGAGACCATTTACTGAATGAGTTGATACCATATGATGATCTCAATATGTTCATGTTAATATTCACATAACTTGAGACTAGACATCCTGGTCAAGTCTCTAACCCTAGTGTATCTCATGGAATGAGCAAACTGCATCAGTGTAATGGAATATATTGAGTGAACATTTGTGCTCCATATTGTGCAACTTCATACACAAAAAAAAAGGAACCAAGGGATAACATCAGCCATGCAGTTTCCACCATTGATGTCATTACTCTGAGTGTTTCTAAGTACATTTGAGATGTACAGCAGTGTTGCAGTAGATGACCAATTTTGACATCATCTATGATAGTGATATCAACTGTTGGCTTCTGTGTTTTTGCTAAACTACAGACCACAGCTACTTTCTTATGTGCCATGCACCGTGGCTCTACAATGTCAATTGATGCTAGGGACAATAATAAAGTTGCTAGGAAAATATTAGATAATTAATGTATTTAAATACATATCATATTTTGATTTCATTGCTATAATAGCAAATTAAAAACAGCTTTTATTTATGAAGTAACTTCTTTAACATAAGCTGATACTCTCATAAGTGAAACAAAAAGAATAATAGTGATTCGTTATTGTTCTCAAAACAAATCGTAAGCTTATATAATAAGATATGTCCAAAAAAATCAAGGAAATTAAGCATTTTCAGAAAATTTCAGAACAACAAATACTAAGATTTATTTTATCATTACAAGTGCACTATGAATATAATTTTTTGCAATAAATTAAATCAGTTTTAATATCAAAACATGAAATATGTAGAATTGTAAAAAATGAAAGGTTTCCATAATGTTTATGGAATTCCATAACATTTGATAGTTAATTTAATTTCTGCAACCAGTTAACTTCTCATTTGGTCTGATAGCATCAGGTATGTGATGCTTCATTGAAGTAACAAGTTTCTGTAGTCACTTCTGATACACTCTCCCTACACTTCACAGTTTCTGATTTCAGTTCTGCACAGAAATACTGCTTTTTATTTGTATATATATGCGAGATGCTAGGGAGTGTTAGATTCAAAACCCCACTTTCGTGACACCAATATGTGAACCACAGGGGAGGTCAGAGGTCTCCCAGTTTGCGTCACTAGTCAGGATGACAAGTCAGGCGAGTGAAGGGAAAGAATTTTCGGGGTCGATGATAAGATGAAGGGCGTAATCGAGTAAAGGAGTCTACCCTTTATAACAAATATAACAACAATTTATTAAAATAAGCCAAATGGACCAAAAGACTACACAAATTGCGTTTCTAAATCGCTTAATATCTTGAGAGAGAGTTTTCCCGCTTTTCATACCTCTTTGTAGAGTTCCTTTGTTGATTAAATCCATGGAGGCACTTAATTGTCCTATTAAAGGTGTCTTTTCCCCAAAAGAGCACAAATTTAAAAAGTTTGCGACTTTGGCAATGATGTATTATTGACATTCGTAGATCGGAATTCGGCAGGTTCGGAGAATCAGCGCAATGTCGTCGGTCTGGCGTTTGTTAAGAGACTCCCCCGAAAGGGGGTAAGAACTGTCTTTTTATAGCTTTTTGTGGGGAATTTCCACTACGTGATCGGATGTTCATGAGCTAAACGTTATAGGTGCCCCAGGGACCTAAAACAAATGACGAAAATTAGATGTTAACTATAAACTTTTCTGCAAGATGAGCTGCAAGTTCTGCAGAGAACAATAGATGTTGATAGTTATGACAGGAAGGTTTACACATTTCCGGCTAAGATTGTTTTTTTTTTTCTAATTTGTTACATAAACGAAAGTGAATTAATTAAACTTTTAGTTAATAAAAGAGCGTGATTTTCGTTACTAAAAGTCCGGATCTCACACACACACACACACACACACACACACACATATATATATATCTAGAAACATTTTTCACATATTCTCAATTAGATTCAAATAAGACTTCTTTTGAAACTTTTTTTTATTTAAGCTATGTTTGAGTTGAGTGGGAATTGTGAATGAGTGCATTATCTTACAACTTTCTCCTCCAAGTTATTTTCCAGAGGAAGGAGAAACTCTTATAGTTTCTTCTTCCTCTGGAAAATAACTTGGAGGAGAAAGTTGTAAGATAATGCACTCATTCACAATTCCCACTCAACTCAAAGCTAGAAGGAGAAACTCTTATAGTTTCTTCTTCTAGCTTTAAAACAAAAACAATGGTTGATGTAGGAGCTGTGTGAAAAAAATTAACTGGCCATATGTATGTTCATTCTGTGCTACTTGGCAAAGTGTTAGCAATTTCTGCTTTTTGTTGCTGTTCTGCATGTGTCATTCTCTTAAGAGTTAAAAATTGTTAATTTTTATTACTAGTAATATATTTAATGTTTTAGTTTATTTATTATTTTTACTTTCATTACTAATTTCCTAAAAAGGTTATTTTTGCTTTAAACAGTTGCAAGAAGTTTCTTCAAAGTTTCCCTCAACATACTGAGCCAATGATTAAATTAGATAAAGAATTACAACAGTTTATCAATAATTACATGATTTTACCAGAATATCTTCACAATACTAGTTTAAAATTACAAGAGATTATCAAATGGGGATTTCAGGTATTTTTTATCAAATTAATATATAGTATTATTGATTACATAAACCTTGTATTATAGAAATTTTTTAATGTTGGAATCCAATTATTGGTCTAAATAAACATGTAACATCGGTCTATTTTGGAACTGAATGAAATTGGCACCATATTAAAATTAAAACTTGTTAAGGAAACCAAAAATAAGAATTTATTAGGAATGTTTTTAGCCTACTATTCTACCAGCTTTGGCTAACTATGCCCAACAAAAGTGAAGAATGTGACTGTAGAAGATCGAATCTGGGATAGCCAGATGTCACTGCCAAGCCCTTCTGGTCGGGGTAAATTTTCTCCACTTCATTGTCATTTTGTGGTGTTCACCACTGACCTTCAACAAATGGTAGACTAAAAACATTCTTGATATTTTTGGTTTCTTTAACAAGTAATTTTAGTTTCTTATCAATTAATTTTAAGTTATATTTTTCTAATGAACAGTCAAAGAAAGTGCAATAGAACTTTATTTAATCAGGAGATTTTATGAAAGTCTAATATTTGTAATTCTTACTTAGTTGAAATGTCAGATTTTACTGTTAAATTTTATTTAACAACAATTATTCACATGATTTTCTAATGAAATTATTTGTCATCTTCATTTTCAAAAACAGAGTTCAAAGGCAGCAGTTTTCTAATTTGGATCAATAACTTCAAAAATATGATTTGACATTATCAGATTAACGAATCCAATGTCAATTTTTCTCTATTACTACTAATGCACGTGTAAAAACAATCAAGTGTTTTATTAAGAGCAAACTGCAGCTTGTGAAGATGAAAATATTAATTCATACCCAAAAGATTGCATTTCTAAGCATTAATAATGCTTTTGTTGCATATAATCAATCTAGCGATTGGTCTGTTAATAAATTTTATAACTTAATAACTAATTGGGGAAGTAAAAACTATAATTTTTTGAATAGGGATAAGTGGATGTATTTTTACATACTTATATTGCATTATATGTCTAAGTAACTTTGGTATAAACCATATCTTCTGACATTAAGAGTTTATTAATAAATATTAAAAAAATACATTAAATTTACACAAAATTATTTACATAAACAACAGCTCAATAAGCCCGATTTTTGATTAAAATCAGATCTGCCAAATTATTGGGCTATGATTAGTTGCGGGAAGTTGGAGTTTCTTCTTATCAATTACTGAAATCTAATTAAGTACAGTTTTATTATGGAAGTTGTGGGTTCGAGTTCTGCTCCAAACTGATTTGTTTCCTTCTAGAAATTTTAAATTAACAATTAATTTATTATAAATATTAAAATATCATGAGATGGCAGTTTAACTGCCTATTTCTCGACAAATTAATTTTTATCTAATTATTAACTTAATCTAGCCTGATAATTTAGCAGACTGTCTGACAAAATATTATATGTTTTGAAAATATATAATATTAATTTTGTTTAATTTTAATTTTTGTTTTCATTCTAGCTTTTCACCAGTGTTCATACTCCAGTTTTGCAAGATAATGAATTTCTCTCAATTGAAATTAATAGTGCTATTGAAAAGTAAGAAATCAGAAGTTATTAGTAATAAAATTAACCAGATTTTAAATATGATGATAGATTATAATAAAATATTGACTTTAATAAGCTTTACTTTACTGTACGATTGCTATAGTAAATATATAGGTAATGGGAAAAACAAGGTTAGATTAATTATTACAAATGATGAACACCATAACAGATAAACAATTTTGCAGTTTTATACATCAAATGTTTTGTTTGACTTCTCATTTATTTCATTTGATTCAATGTAAACATTTGAATATTTATCAAGGATCAAATGTTTGAAAAATTTGCAATTGGAGGGATTTTCTGTACAATTCCAGAGATTTCTTATCTCTTATCAAGATTTTTTATTTACTCATTATTCTCTGTGGTCACTGGGTTGTGATTTTTCTTTTCCTGTTTACTGGTTTGGCCGGGTTCAAAATAGGAGTGGCCAGGTGGTGAAGGACAGGACCCAACATCTTCAGGACAGACCATTCATGGAAAAATTCTGTATTTTCCAGATTCAGTCCTGGAACCTCCGGAATGATAAGCCAACATCTTAGTTATATCTACATCTAACCATTTCCTATTGACACATTGAATTTCCATATGCTCTGTGAAGGTATCTCAAGGAAATTTGTATAAAGAGAATATGTTTTGAAAGGAATTTTTGTTTTGATTTCAGACTTTTAGTAAAATATTCTGAAAAAGAAACAGCTTTAAAATACTACTTAGTAGTTATGTAATGTATGATGATACAAGAAATAAATCTTGAATACTCAGATTGCTTATATGTATAACTTTTGGTTGCAGTTATATGCAGTACTTTAAGAACAAAATTACCAAAACAGAAAGTAATATAAAACAAATGTAATAAATATGATGCATCCCCCAACTATAAGGCAAGATCATCAAGCGTATGGGTTGCTGCAATGGATTGAATTTTGATTCGATTGTTCTGGATTGAATTTTATCTATCATGATCTTGAAATGTTTATGACTAAAGTATGGGATAATTTTGTCTATGTTCACAGTATGAACTGGTCTGTTTATTTCTGTTATGTGGGAAATAAGTTAAGATTTCAAAAGACCATGATATTTCAGAGCAAGTTTGCCTAGGTCAGGATGATAAGTTCTCCAAAAGTACTTTACCTTAAAATTAGGAGGTTGGTGCTGTTTATATATGATTCAATTTTTTTCATATGCTACCACAGTCTTCTCTACAGCTATTTTTCTTGCAAAGTAGGATAGTTGCTATAGGATCATTAACCAATCATAAAAAGAATGCACAACTATAAACTAATTAAAAATAATAAGATAACAAATAAAGTAAAATCAATACTAAACATAAATATATGCAACTACAATAAATACAAAAATAAAGTAAAAAACTAAATGGTTTATGCCACATTTGTTGTGAAGTTACAAGTTATTCGCTTATTGGGTATTCAAAAAAGGACTTCCACGCCACCAAAGGAGAGTTGCTGTCCCTGAAGTTGATAGAACAATTCCCACTCAAAACAATCAAAAATGTTATAGTTATTAAATTTTTTGCTGTGTTTTAAAGTTGTTGAAGTATGTTTACTTGGTAGCTGTGAATTAAGTAGGATAGTTTAGATGATTCTGGAACATCACCATACATCAGATAGATTGGGGAGAATCCAGTAATAGTGTGTGGAGTTTGATTATAGTTTTTTCAGTATATTTCTTAAATGTATGTATGTCCATGTGGAATTCACTGCAAATTTAGCCCTGGAAATGAGAATGGCATTTAGTCTCTCAACCAGTCCATTATGTTGAGGTCTTTAAGTTGTAATAAGATGTTTTATGCCTTTTTTTCTCTAGATATCTGTGAAATTTTGATAAAGAAGATGAGGTTCTGATAGTGATGCAATGTTTAGGAAAAGTGCTACAGCCTGATAAACCTAAACAGTTTATATGTGTTAATCAATGTCATGCATATCTTGTAATTTTCTAGGACATGCAGGTAATTTTTCATATAAACATGCCCTCTGAATTCCACACATTTTATCCAATGATATCATGTCAAATGGGATTTAGCTGGCAGTATATCCCTTCACAGGCCAAATTTTTTATGGTTATAAAATTTAGGTTTTTTTACGGAAATCACAATGCTTAATGAATGTGATGGTATCATTTAATTACATTTGGTCAGTAATAGTGCTGACCAAATGCATTTGAGCTGATCAAATTTAGCATTTGAGTAAATCTGGGATGACCATGTTGATCATGGACTGCCTGCCAGCATCCTATATTGAAAGTTAGGCAGTATGACCTTTTACATAAAACTCTGTACAGATTAGATTATTTTGATGTCTAAAGAATCTAGACAAATTAAATAAGGTCTTGACTGGAAATAATTTCCTCAGTAGTGACTAAGTGGATTATAGCATTTTTTGACATAGCTTCAAATGTTCTAATTACTATTCTCATACTTTACTTCATACTGACACATAATGAGTTTTAGTCACCACCTAAATAATCTACCAGATTGATTGATTTTTAATGTTGTTCAACCATTTAATGCCTGATGATCTGTATGAATTGTAAGAGGAATATTTGGAAGATAGATATGGAATTTATCTATTGATGATACTATGGCTAGGCATTCTCTTTTGCTTACAATGTAATTTTTCTCATAGTGTCTTAGTGCTGTAGGAAAATATGACATGGGAAATAGTCTCTTAGTTGGATGATTTTGTTTTTGAATGTTTTCTATCCTTTGTCCACTGGCATCAGTGAATAAATAAGTGGGTAATTGGGGATTGCACATACTTAAAATCGGTTTGGTTTTAAAAATAGATTTTAATTCTTCAAAAATCTGTTGACATTGATGTCCAGATCCATTTCTGATTTTCTCTAAAACATCCATTCAAGAGAGCCTTTATTTCTGCATAATTTGAAATGGCTTAATGATAGTTAGGACCAAGAAAACTTTCTTGGACATGGTAGAATCTTTAATATCTTTATGTTGGTTACTGATAGAGAGTAACTTTTTTGTTCGATAATGAATCCTAACCAGTAAATTTCAGATCTGTGAATTGACATTTTACTTTCCCAGCTATTAAGTATACATAAGAAGGGAATGTGTTGGAATCATGTCAAATTTGACCCTCTAGATATTTTGCAAATCTTTGTTTTGAAACTCCTGAATCCAAAAAAGTAAAAACAAAAACGGGGGGAAAATTCCTTGCATGTTTGCTAGCTAGCTAGCTAGCTAGCTATTCACATTAAATGACCACAGATGAGTATTGTATGCTTTCTTCATGAAAACGCAAGACCATGTGTCAAGATTGACCCTGTAAATGTTGCTTGATCTCTGCTGGGAGATTCCCTCCCTCCCGTATAACCCAAACATTACACCATCTTCTGACTACTGTATCTTCCACTCCATGTAGCACTTCTTGGATGGAAAGCAGTTGGCTGTTGACAATCAAACTTGTAGAGTTTAAGTCAAAACAGCCAGAGTTTTATTCAGCAAGAGTCCATGACTTGTCCAATTGATGAAAAAAGGTGCCCGAATGTAATGGCAATTATTTCTTGAATAAACTATTTTTTTGTTTTTGGAATAAATATTGTACAATAAAACTCAAGAGAATTCTAGAAACTTTTGCATCAATTCTACATATACAGTATATATGAAACACAGTAGATTTATACAGTCTAATTACCTATGTATACTGATATTTCCCATAATTTAATCATGTGTTTGAGTTTTAATAACAATATTTAGTAATTTTTAAAATATTCAAAACTAATTTTTCTTTTCAGTTATGTTTTAGAAGCCGTTCATCACAAATTATTCCCAATTATAAAACAGAAATGTTCCTTGGAAGATCGTTTGCTATCTACTAAATTACAACAGTTATATTCTTCAAATCTGTCTGCGGATCAGCTGGGAGTTAAGCCAGAATTCTGCTGTCAGACTCCAAATGCCGTAAATATGTTTAAAAAAATTTCTTTAATTATTAGATAATTGTTTTCAAATTTACATTTGATCAAATTGGAAATGATATTAGAGCAATTTTCATCAAAATTTTTCAAAGTTTTTTTATAAAATTAATATTATTTGCAGCAAATTTTAGTTTTCACTTGCAAAACAAGTTGTAGAAGAGACTAGAATACAAAACAGAATGTACTTTACTGTTAATTTTGTTTTGAATATATATATGTATATTTTATAAATAGTACAATGCTGTTTGTACTCTTTGGAGATAATGACAAACTAGATCCACTAATTCCCATTAAAGACATAGAAACAATTGGTTTATGTTGCACTTTAATGTCATTAGAATTACCTATTTTTGACACTCAGATATTGATAGATGTATATCACCCTGATTGATTGATTGATATAAAGGGTATGATGCAAACATAATGCTTCCTATTTTTTTGGAAAACTAGAGTATTTAAAATAGCTCTCTGCAGAGATATTGTAGGTTGTGGTTGTTCCTTTCAGCTTGTTGATTGGTTTCAGGTGATGCTTGTACACCAAGTAGCATTTTGTCTGCTCAGCTATTCTACAGTCATGTATAAATGGTTTAATGCATTGTTTGCATAAACACAGTTTCTTAGTTTAGTATAACCTACAGTACCTACTGCAGAGAGATTTTTTGTGAACATTTTGTATTTCAAGTAAGAAAATAAAATTTATATCAGTTGACCTTACTGACTTATTTTTCTATGTAATCTTCTCAACATTCCAACACATTTTCTTTAATCTTCAACAAGATTCTGTTCCTCTCCTCTCACGAAAGGACAAATTAGGACTGATCTATTTTTTCCATGATTTTTCAAACCATTTTCTTCTTCACAGTGAGAGAATTGCTCTGTTCAGGAAGTCAATCATACTAGCTATTTTATATGAATGTCAGTATCTTTTATTTCAACATTTGACTACTTTAGTAACATTTGACAGTTTTTCTTTTGCATATTCAATTATAAGCAGGAAGCTTTAAATAATTTTCAAGTATTGTAACGTTTATGTACATAAACTTTTCTACAAAAAAAAGCAAGCATTACTACTTTACCACATCTCAGATATATTGGTAATGAAATGAAAAGAGGATTTGCAAGGAGTTTGGTGACATTTCAAGTCAGACTTTGTAATGCCATGGCTGTGAATTGTAAGATCATCCATTCTCTCAAGATAAATGCTTTAAAAATTTTGTGGGACTTCTTCTAGTGATATTCAAATGTCTTGATCTTTCTTCAGATAACTTCATTCATAACCATTTGTATTTTTGGTCTTATACAGGTCCCATGAATTGCAACTTATTAAAAAAAGGGCTTTTCTACAGCCTGTGGTGTTCCTGTCTAAATCCAGAATCAGACCAGAATTTTGGTAGATCAGCCCTAGCCCGAAGTTACCTCAAGTCAAATTTTAGCTTTGTGCATGCTGTGGTGCAAAAATTCAAAAACTTTTCCAGATATCTCGGAAAATCCTTTTCTGATGTTGATCAAATACAAACTATGTGATACAACTATGTAAGGGCCATATTCATTTTTTTTAATGGATTTTTAAATGCATGTTTTTTATGTGAAACAACCAAAATAAGAATTCTTTGAATTTTTGTGTTCCCTTGTGAAGCCTGTTACAAGCTGAAAAATATACAGTCGACCCCCCTATAACACAGTAGATACATTCCGTTCTTTATGAAATTGATGTTCTAAGAGTCCTTGAATACATGAGCCAATCACAGCTTGGCATGTATGCAGTTTACGGACTATGGCTGTTTCTTCCATAAAATTAATCAATTCTAGACTAATTCGACTCAACATTTCCAAAATACATATAATTTTTTGGGAATAATCCATATAAACTATGCTATAAACAAAAAAATTGTAGGATTACTTACCGAGTGTGCACCGTTCGACGACGCCATTGCTTAAGCTTGTTTTCATCGTGGAGCTTGTTGTCAAATGGCGCTCACGTGCTTCTTGATAAATTATTTGTTTTGCGAAAAATTCACTGAACTTTGGAGACATCATTAATATAAATATAATTTTATGGACGTTAAATAATAAATGGTTTTTAGTAGGTTTGCTGCTTGTTTAAACTCAACGGTTTGTATAATATCCGCTATTGGTCTAGATTCGACCAATTCTATCGCAAAATGAGTCGGTGATGACATTTTACTGAATTATACGAGTTTTTTAGCGTGTTTGTACGAATACTTTTGCAATTTTTTCACCGTCATATTGGAATCCGAACTATATGAACCCGTGTTATAGGGGGGTCGACTGTACTGTCTGAGAGTACAATGTCTGATCTATATGTCTGCAAAGTTTCATTAATTTATTTTCATGGTAAGATACCAAGAAAAATTAATAAGAGAGTATATATAAAGTTTCCCATAGTAACTTATTAGATCTTCCTGTTTGGGTCAGATATCTCACTCGTTGCAACATTAGAATATGTAGTTACACACTACACTGTTGTTTATAGGGTATGCAGATAGGTGTATAAGCAATTTGAAGTTTGTTTGGTCTTTTCAGTAACTACTGTAAATGTATATAAAAAGGAAAATTAGAAAACAAGCAGATAAGAGTAATGGTTTAACAACTCTAATATGTGAGAATTGTGAAAAAATGAAATATTCTAGCTTAAAAATTAAATTTCATATCATTTAACTTTAGTGGCAATAAATTTAATACAGTATACACCGAACTTACGCGATAGGTGAGACCAAGCGATAACTGCGTAAGTCGAATTCATGTAAGTCGGGGTATAATTTCACAATTTGTGTAAAATCCAAGTCGGGTGTATGTAAGCTAATAAATGTTCTCGTTAATCTTATCTCGCCTTATGATTTGTTCACGGTTGCAAGAAATCACCACATAGAGTCTCTCAAGTCTCCATAGATATAACAAACACAAAAATAAATAACACAAAATAAATTGTAGCTATAAGTCGATTCTGCGCGACACATTCGAACATGTAAGCTGAACAATAGTGTGGGGGGAATGAGTAATCGAGTTGCGTGGTGCTCAAACAAAAGATGAATCATCGAGATTTGAAAATCGCATAACTCCGGGTTCGCGTAAGTCGGGGTAACATAAGTCGAGGTATTACTGTACTCAAAATCAAGGGGTACCCTGGGTAAGATATCAATTAAAATTTAGCCTTCTTTCCAAAATAATTTAGCCTAATTTTAATTTAGAAAGTTTCTAGGATGTTTAGTATATTACAAAATATAAATCAGCAAAGTTTTAGATAATTAGTCTATTATAATTGGAAAAAAAATACCCTGAGAGAAAGCAATGTATTTCAATGTAATCAAAAAAATTGAAGTTTGATGAGCACATGCTTTGGCACCAACTTCACCTGTAGACTTAACTATGACTTTATTTCTGGTTGCAGGTTTGAATTTTAAAATATTGTTTTGCATTATGACCTAGACCGAGATGGATTCTATTTGTTTGCAAAAAATAATTTAAATTGTTAAATGATTTTGGAGGAGTTAACTGTCACATAAACATCAAAGTCATTGCTAAGAGAGCTACACTTTGCTCCGCTTAATAATGACATTCCTATTGAAACTCTATACTGTTTAAAACTGCTGTGTTATCCAGCTTGAACATCAGTTGTGTCCTCTGAACTGGTATTTAATTCAAACAACATAGCAACTTTACGCAGTATGGAGAATCCTATGGGAAAACTGAATATATATGTTTTTGTTAATTTTGTACCAAGAAAAATATCAAACTAATATATATATTAGTTTGATAGTTAGGGATAGTTTGGGGCCAGGTTTTGGCCTAATTTGTGGATTTAGGCAAGAACACCATAGGTCGTAGTAATGCCCTTTGTTAACATAAACATTTGTAGATGGCTAATTTGGGATATTTTCTCATAAACCACCACTTTAAATTTCTGTAATTCTCCTTTTTGTAACTTTTTACTACAAGAAATCTGTTCTGTAGCATAGGTCATTTCTGATTAACATGACAGTTAATTTAAATGATGAAGACAAACTAACACTACACTTGGGAATTAGTGATGCAAGATGAGTCAGTTGGACACTGCCAACTGGTGGCTTTGCCAAACACCTCATATACTTTTCATATGATTATTCAATGTATAAATATATATTAATCTATCAGGTTTTTAACTTGTTAAAACAGAATCTTTTATAAAAAGTCAGAAATGTATTCCTAAGTAGAATATTGTAATTATTCAAATGCATTTGTTTACTGTTTGACAAGTTTTGTTCAGTAAAAACAGAACAGAACATAATAGCACATGGCTGGGTAACACAATATTAGTCTTAATGTTTAAAGTACTTCTTAATTGTTTTAATCATTTTCTGGCCTTCAAGATATACATGTTTTTGTTTTTAATGCATTTTTTGATGGCAGAATGAATAAAACCAGAATTTCCACTAATTATAGTCTTTATAATGAAATAAGAAACGTTGTCATTATGTGTAATGTTTTTTAAATCTTATTTTGATGTATATTTTTAAAAAATTAATGATGTATCAAACAAATAATTAAATAAATTTTTGAATAATCGAGTAACAAAATCATATTTCTTCTTATTTGTTTTTAGTTAGTCGAACTGGCAAATCTGAATGCAAAAAATAATCCTGCGCAGAAGTTAAGATGCCTGAAGTCGACACTGGTAAGAGAAATTCACTTGTCAAAAGAATGTTTATGTTCCTATCATCTGAGATTGATAAAAAAAAAAAACAAATTTGGAAGTATGGAAAATATATTGAGGAAGGTTTCAATGACAAAAAATAATAATAATAATAATTTTCTGTTGCTGCTACTCAAGATTCTGAATTCTTGTCTTCAAAAATAATTGTGCGATTAAGAATTTGATAATTTTACTTTGTGGCCCACCTTTTCAAATTTTGATATTCGAACTTTTAACTTGAGTCCGACTCAGAGATTGCCCACTGGTGTCCAAGCAGATAAAACCACTGGACACTAGTAGTTGGTTCTAGGTTCACAATCGACCATTGGACTGGGTCATGGAATTTTCCAGGTTTCTTTTACTTATTTGATTCTACAGATAATTTCTATTTGGGAAAGTCCTTTTGGAAGTCATCCTTCTTGTCAGTTGGTTGCATGTTGTACTGCCTTATTCCATCAATCTAATACAGAAAATTTTTAGTGCAATATTTGACATGTTAATATTTAGAAAAATCAAATTAACGTACAATCTTATATACAGTAAAACCTCATTATTTTGATATCAGATAATTCGAAATATTGTATAATTTGAAGTCTAGTCTAGTCCCCAGCCAAGAGAATAGGATTTTGCATATATTTTAGTTCAGGTAATTCAAGATAAGCATACAAAGGAATTCAAAGCCCTAATCTGGTCCAGTGACCCACAAAAATATCATTTAATTTGAAATATTCCATTATATTACATGTCTATAAGAAAGTTTTCATGCACAAGTGGGAGTGGCGGTTTTGGTTTTACCAATTATACATCAATTCATTGGATGTCCATTCAGGATCATTCTGACTTTATACACATTGTGGCCAAAGGGGATACATTATGTTACAAAAAAAGCCAAAACACACAAGTTGGGTACCATTTACAGTTAGGATGGAAGCTGCTAGCATTATAATAAATGTAGGGGAAATACGGACAAAATGACATACGGTTTTATTTTAGGTTCATAACTCTTTATTGGTAAACCACAGCACTGTCATATTCTACACCAATCATCTTTGGTTTTTTACCTATGAAATATACTAAACATTTACAATATTAAAATAATAGGAAAAAAAATATTGTTAGTTTAATCGAGATCATCCACTATGGACAAAATGACATATTACGTAAGGACAAAATGACATACGTGTAAAAACTATAAAATTACTGACAAAGTTCACAAATGAAACGCTTGGTTCTTTTAGAAACGTCAGCGCAAGAAGCATGAGCCCAACAGAAACAATTTAAGCACCGTAACCAGTCTCCTCCAGGCTTAGATCGGGAAAAAAGATCATTGCAATATATGCGTGGACAGTCTTCTTCATCATCACGAGAGTTATGAGGAAAATTTTCTTCTTCAAGTAACTTTTTAGTAATATTTCGTTTCCTTTTCTCTGGCGGAGCTTTGGACACATTTTTTTGATTTAATTGCCTTCATATTAGGAGTAGAAGTTAAAACTAAAGAGGTTTGTCGAGTCACGTGATTCGTTGCAAGTTTTTTGTTATGTGAAAGATAATAAGTTTGTAAATAATATGTAAGAAAGGAAATAAAGTTTTATACTAAAATTTCTTTTAAACAATAATGAAAGACTTTGTTTGGAAGACATTTTTGATAATTAATAAAACGTTAAGAGATTAAGGTAAGTTCCTTGACTAAGCTCTTATGGACTAAATGACAGGTATGTCATTATGTCCGTTGCCTATGTATGTCGTTTTGTCCATATAACGTTATAAAAAAACAAAATTATAAAATAAATACAAAGATGTTATTTTTAATGGAAAAAGTTATTTAAGTGCAACAACAAATTCTTGAGGGTTGAAATAAATGTTACACAAATAGATAAAATAGTGAAAAAATTACCATCTATACAAAAAAACTAGTTGCGAGGAAAAAAACTCATAACGTATCATTTGTTGTTGTCGGCCATAACACCCGGGCGTATGAGAGGAGTGCGTTCACATTTTGACAGGTTAGAGATAACGGATAACGGAAGAGCCGCTCGGATAACGTTGTGTCATGGTCAGTTGCGAGCTTGAGACTGCCAAATTCGAATTATGTTGCCTATGTCATTTTGTCCGTATTTCCCCTATATTGATTTGGATTCACACACAAATAGTAATATCCTCGAAACATAAATTTTCCTCAAAATATTTTCTCGTATATAACCAGCATTAAGAAATTAATTAATTCTTTCTCGGTTGTTTAATATGAGTGTATATTCTTACAGGAAATGTTAACGGAAGATGTAAAAAATTCAGTCGCTCCTCTCCCCGGATTTAGTGGTGGGTATATGCAATTACATAAATTAGCTTAGCTTATCATCCTCCTTATTATAAATAATTACTGTTTATATTTTAGGATTTGTTCTATTTAAACTCAAAAGTTTTAGGTTTAAAGTAATATTTTGTTTGTTTTCAGATATTCCGTGCTTAACATCAGACGATCTTATCCCCATTTTAGTCACAGTACTGGTGCAGTCTAGACCTCAATATTTAGAAAGTAATTTATATTATATACAGAATTTCTCATGGCAGTTGTCGGCTAATTCAAAATTAAGGTACAGATGTAAATAAATTTGTTATTGGATGTCGGATAAGAAATTTTCCCTCGTTTCATTCTTAACACACAAATTTTTTGCATTTTAGTTATAGTCTGGTGACGTTTCAAGCAGCTAAAGAATTCATTAAAAGTTTTGAAGCGTCACATCTGAAACCTTCGAGTAGCAGATTAAAGAAAGAGGTAAGTTTTTAAATTGTCGTTAAGAGTTTTTTTTTTGCCGATCTGATGTTTTTACACTGAAAAATTAGTTTTAAAATAATTAATTTCATTTATTATTTCAATACATAAATCAATGTGAATGAATGCTTCTGTAAAAAGAAATGTGTTGTATACATTGAAAACATACAGAAATGTTAGTAGCAGTATGATTCTTTACGTTTGCAATTTATTAAATTATATTTCAAGAAAAATAAACTGTTTAGTTCAATTTTGAACTGAATTTTGACAATAGAAATATTTTTTATATTAATAAATATTTCTTAAATAGATGTCACTTGAAGAGTTGATGGAAGTGACGGTGCAGCTGCAGAAGAATTACAAGAAAGACAAAGCCGAATCTCATAAGAACTCGAATGCAGTCAGTCCCATCGACCGTCAACTGGCAAACATAACCAGGATGATAGAGGAGTCGACGAAGGAGTTCCGCCAGCAGACAGAGAACGAAGCCGAGAGGAAGAATGCGGGGCTTGGGTAATTATAGACTTTATGCTTTTAATTTATCACATGTATTAAAACATGTAGATCTAACTGAATTAGATTCAATCTTGTATCCCCATAAATGTAGATACACAAATTTGAATAAACAATACAGATTAAGCTCAGACTATAAAAATTACAAAATAATACCACTATAAACACCAGACATTTTATCTTGAATACCAGCAACAACCTAACAAGTATCTAAATTATTTTGTTTGTATTTTTCATGTAATCTTTTCCCATGCACAATTAAAGTTTAAGTAATGAGAAATTTTAATTAAAATTTATAATTCTGCTTAAAGTTTGGTTATAAATGGTTGAAATTGTTTAAAAGTATCAATTTGATATTAGTGCCAACGTTACCAAAGATATTCCTGGTGCAAGGAGTCCATATCTGTAAAAAAATTAATTTGCCATAATTATGGCAAATTTAATAATTATAATTGATATGGTTCATCAGATTGATAGATTTACGGTGTGACTATAACAAAATTAATCAAACATTTTAGAACAAGTTATGTAATTTAAAAAGTTATGTAAGAAAAACCAATATTCTCTCTTAGTATGCTAGACTCACTAATCAAGCCGTTTCTTGCACTGAGGAATGGCAGATTACCCAGAGTGTACAGGCTTAAAAGTAGAATGATGTGACCTATTTCTCTTCGGTACTGATTCATTTTGGAGAGGGACTGACAAATACAAGGGTATATTGAAAAATAACGTTTTCACAGTCATAACTTTTTTATTAATAGACATATTTCAGAAATATAAATGTGAATAGATGGCTGAAAATGTTCTGTCTCTATTGATTAAGCACTTTTTTACATAGTTCCCATTTACAGCAACACACTTATGCCAATTTGCGACGAGTTGTGCAAACTCGTTTCTGTAGAAGTCAAAAGACTTCATGTCCAACCATTTCTGTACTTTTGCATCTGAAGAGAAATGTGTGCCCTTCTGATGTTCCTTGAGCTTTGGGAAGAAGAAAAAATCTCAAGCCACAAAGTCAGGGCTGTAAAATGTTATTGAATCAAAGCTTCTCTATCATTGTGTGGGTTTGCTTGCTCATGTGAGATCAAGCAATATCATGACAGAATTTTCAAAACAAACCTACACGGCTGTCACTTATGAATTCTTAAGATGATGATATATTGTTCTGAGTTAGTCTCACTATGGTCCAAGAAGTCAAGATGAATGATGTCCTGGAAAACAGAAATTATGACTTTACCCACTAAGGGAACTGCTTTGAATTTTTTCAGTTCAGGCAAATCCTTATCTCTGTACTCCACAGACTGATGTTTTATCTCAGGGTCATAGTGATCTGTGTGGTATTAATCACTGCTCATAATTCTATGAAGAAAGGCAACACCTTCTGTTTCATGGTGAGCCCAAAGTTTTTGAAAAATTTCTTTTTTGCTGATCCAATACAAGCAAATTTTTCTGTATTGCAGAATATTCCGTATAATTTGATGTACTCTTTTCAGTGAAATGCCCAAAATCTCTTCATCTTGATTCTCGCAAATCAATTCATCAATGTGAGCAACCTGCCTGTCATCTCATGCAAACATTGGTCATCCACTGTGTGCTTGAAACTTCAGGTTAATTTCAGCAGGATTCGCATCTTTAACTACCACCTAACTGTACTGAAATCAACTCAAGTATCTGCTAACTCTCAAAGTACACAGGTTCTTCAGTTAAAGCTTGTTTAAAGCAAATTTTAATTTCTCAATCAAAAACAAAAATTTCAGTTAATTAACTAAATTATGACTGTTGCATATGATGTCAGTTTAGACAGATGAAAGTTTCATTTATTTAAAACTTTCATTTGTAACATTAGACAAGATTTATATACTTATTTCTTTGCGGAATCATTACTTTGTCAGAGTACAGAGTGCTCTCTAAACTGTAAGAATCCCATTTTATTACCAGTAAAATGGTTTTGTAAATATATTATTTAACTCTACATAACCTGGAGCAATTTATTCGTCATTCAATTTACCGTTACTAAAATATCTTTACCGCTTAATAATACATTGCATCTGTGTCTGCCTCTTTCTTTAACTTTTTTCCATTTCTTAAATTGACTTTGTCAAGGGCAAACATTAAATATTTTTTTCCTTTTAAATATTCTTTACTGCTTTCAACCACTTTCTATAAAGATTGCATAAATCTTTAATACAATCGCTCCATTACAAGATTCAAACTTGCATCTGACTTTTGCATTAAAGATTAATTGTATTCTCTTTGGAGACTGCAGGTGCAGGTGCAAATTCCTAAGTGTTTAGGAGATTAAAAAGACTGTGCGCATACATATAAACATATAAATTTTATTTGTCACATGTAACTTTAATGGGTGCGTTTGGAAGTTGCGTAACCGATATTTATGCAAAACTAAAATTTTCATTGGGAAAAGTACAGAATTCTGAGTTTTGGATATCTCGTAAATTTGACAGAAGGGTATTTTTTCTAATTATTAATTATCAAAATTTGTTATAGAATAGATCAAGAGAAGGGCACACATGCAGTTTCTTTCTGAAATTTGGTCAGTGCCCGAGTCTTTTAAATATAAAATTGCACAAGTTTGAAGAATAAAACTGTATTTACCATGGGAAATTTTCTTAATGTGTCCGCATTTTGAGTTATTTCTCCATTTGAAAGCTTTCCCAATATTTTACAGTGTCGGTTATTCAGGAATTGTTACTTGCCGCACCCACCATAACATAGAATAATCATTACAGTATGAAGGTTAAATTTATATAAAGTATAATTTATAATGTAATCTAATTTACAATTTATAAGTTTTATTAGAATTTTAAAGAAATAATTCATACTTTTAGTGTGAAAATAGTAACAGATGTTGCACCACTCGTTCAACAAAAGTTTTTCTTAATTAAATACCGCAGTTTCCATCAGTCCGCATCTGTAAGATCTAGCTGCTAAGATCTGGTCATCCGGGTATCTAACTTCTGAAACTTTTGATTGATTAGCAATACAGGACTTTTCCTAGAAATGAGTATCTTCATCCTCTACAGATCTGCAGGACGTATTACTTGTAAGCCAGAGATCCACATCCTGATAGAAGATTCGGATCTCTAGCTTACAAGTAATACATCCAGAGACTAGTCAACGTACAGTTCAGAAGTCACACATCTTTTATTTATCAACCATAATTTATTATGTCGTGTATAAGCGATATATATGCTTCCGGGGACTTTCTTGAGTGGGTAGGAATTTCAAAACAAATTTTCCGAAGACTGTTTTCTTCTTCTATCGCATAAACTAAACACATTATTGATATAAATACGCGAGCATACTAAATAATAATCATTACACAGTGAACAGAACAATAACCTCAAATTTCCAAGTTAGATTTCAAGATCTATTTTCATAAACAAACCTTTTTCGGCGGCTTGAAACTGTCCAGATCTTTACTTATATAAGAATAAGGTGATACTTTAAAGACTTCTAACCCCTAAAATTTTATTATCTTAAAAGGTTACACACTTGAATAAGTACAAATTAATACTGTATTTTATTAATTTTTGACCATTTCTGCTTTATTAATTCACTCTGTGGAAAGTTTCTACAGAATCAAGCAGGGTGATCGCAAGGTGTACAGGAGCTTATCCTCTCGACCCCTTTTCCTACGTTTTGGATCCAAATTTATTAGTGTTCCTGAATATTTTCTTTTCTATCACTCTGTACTTAATAATTCACAAGTGCATCATAATGTTAAGCAATTAATTTATCGTTGCAGGGACTTTTTGAACAATCTTCAGAACACCACCCTCGGTTTTGGATATGGAAAACAAGCTTAAAAACTTAAAGGATATGTACAGAAGAAGCTGCAGATGTGATAATTATATAAGATTTAATATTATTATTATTATTATTATTATTTAAAATATTGTAGAGTTTGTGTTCAGTGTACTTTATATTCCCCCTTTTTTTTTATAAATGCTATATTTACACTTTCCAAAAATCCAAATGTTAATTAATATTCCAAAGAATAAAAAGTATTTTTTTTCCTGTAGTTCTCTGTTTTTTTCACTTAGTTTTGAAGCAATTTTCTTACCAAAAATTGATTATCCAAGTAAGAAATTGGAAAAATAACCCTGTGAATTTGATAAGATGGAAGAAATCTGAAGAATTTACAGGTTAAGTGGCATCATGAACTGATTTGAGTGGAATTTTATATATAATGCACACCCCGACTTCTCTTTTCTCGTGTGTACATTGAAGAATTTGAGTATGTCGATTGTGTTAAATATATAAGTTGATTTGTTTCGGTAGTATTATGAAAGTGTTTCCCAACTTGTTACTTGGCAAATCCCCTTTGGAATCTAAGTATAGATGTCCTTTAATTAAAAAGAATTCGCGAGCCACTAGTTGGGAAACTTGGCTCGAGGACGTAGGTTACGTTAATGTACAGTACATACACGTGTCTGCCTACTTATCGGGGTAGGAGCATGTATGTACGCTCGAATATTGAATAATTTTCGGATAATTTGGCGGGCGAAAGGGTCGAGAGGATAATTTCTCACAGAACGGGTTAGAGAAGATGCTGTTCTTTCCGAATGGAAAGTTGTCGTTAGTGTCGAGGGTTCGGACCGGGAAAGAACAACAGAAGAATGCAACAATCGCTTCGTTAATAAGGGTGAGACTGGTCGGACGACTGCCTCCAATTACCGCATTAGCCGCTATTTTCCGATCTTGACCGCTTGGCCCGGATACGCACCAACGACTCCATTTCCATTTTTAGATTCTTGCAACTCATCCCCTCCGGCTGCGTTACAACGAGGGAATTAACACTCGAATCGTTTCGGTAATGCTTCCTCCACCCTCCCCCGATTTAAGCTTTCCTTAATGGAGAAAGTTGCGAAGAAAAAGTAAAGTTTCCTGTCGGGAGGAGATCGTGACGCTTCCGAGTTTAATCGAACTTCTTTAAGTAGACGGCTTTAGTCGGGGATCGTTATTGGCTTCGACTTCTCTCGTACGAGCCTCGCGACAAATTAAAACTTCCGGGATTAGTCTGTCGACTGTCCTTTCGGTCACAACGGTCGATATACCACATCATCCTCTTGCTCCTCCTCCTCCCGTTTTCTCCATCTTTTGATGAAAGTATTCCTCTTCGACACCTAAAAATCTTGCAGCTTACGTCGTTCACAATTAAATTTTCCAGTGTTTTTGGAGGTTGAAGCTTAATCACCGCAAGCCTCTAAGATACTCTATAACCTCTTAAGATACCACCCTTCAACCTTTTCCAGATGAAAAGCAAGATGAAGATCTCTTCATCTAGATGGTTTTTTTCCCCCTCCATCTTTCTTCTTCTCCTCTAAAAATCAAGGTAGAAAGAGAGATAGATTTAAAAAAAAAAAAACGACGTTTTAACTTAGTTTATCGTTCGACTTTCATCTCTCTCTTCCCCTCTCCCTTTTAAGAAGTTGAAACACAGAATAAACCCCGCATCGCAACAAATACATCGCTAATTGCCCCTTCAAAATCCCCTCGTCTCCTAGCAACTCCCTAAACATTTTACCCTTCAAAAATGCACCACTTTACAAGGTTGGAGTTGTACTCGTACATACACATACACTACATCCACCCCTCTATTACTTGTTTCGATTAAGTCTGTCGCCAGCATCCCTTATCCATAAAAGCCAGGTGAGTTCTTTAAATTGAATTTTCTCCCCTTTTTTTTCCTGTATCAAAGCGCTTGTTGCTCTCCAACGACGAAGCGTTTTTTTTTTCATCTTACAAAACCAAAAATAAAATCGAAAGAGAACCTTTTTTTTTATTATCAAACAGTTTATTTAGTACATAAAACAATACAGGAAAAAAAAAAAACATATAGATGAATTATTTGCATGCACCGATGGACTACTTCACGTGGACGGTTGGCTCGACCAGACAACTATTCAATAATCCTTTACAAACTCGGAAACGAACCCATTCTCTTTATTTTATTTTATTTTTTAATTATTATTATTATTTTTTTAAAAGTTCACGACACTAAAACATCACCAGCGTTTATTCCAGATGGCATATTGTTTATCGGGAGGGGGTTCGAACCCACGTTTATCGACTCTCAACTTTGATTTTTGCGAGGAATTCTTCTTCCGTATTTTTTTTTCACTAAAACAAAAAAAAAAAATAAAAAAAATTGCCAAAAATACACACACACACACACACCAAACCCGCCTCTACCTATCTAGAATAAACGCTTTACACACCTAATACCTGAGAGCAAAAAATCAAAAAAAAAAAAAAAAGACATCATTTGTTTTTTTGGCAGATGGTCCAAGAGAATCCACCAGGAACACTCGTGATTTTCTTCATCATCATCATCATCATTACTTCTTTTTTTTTTGTGTTTTTCTTTAATTATATTTTACAAAATCGCTCGAGAAAAATCGAGCTTTCTTGGCGAATCTTGCCTCTTATAATCCCATATAAAAGGATGCGAAGCAGGCGCGTGTGATTATAAAAGAGGAATTACAAAAAATTGTGGTTACATGATAAAAATTCTTTTGTATAAAACACGAGGAAAATGGCGTCGTTCTTTATAATTAATATTTTTCTTTAAAAAAAAAAAAAACAAAAACAAAAACAAACATCGGACGACGCTACTAACCAAGCTTCTCTCACCTTCAAACTAATTTTTTTTTTTTTAAATTTTTTGTGTATGGCACCACACCCAAACTCCGCAACATTCCCCATATTTAAAAAAAAATTGTACACACAAAAAAAAAAAAAAAAAAAAATATATTGTAACGTACAGACATATAACAGAACAGGTGACATTCCGTTGCGCGAAAAGGTGTTATATAAATTACAAATAATGTGGTCCCATGTCGAATCCCGACAGTCCAGTGTTGTTGTTGTTGTTGTTTGTTGTTGTTGGAGGAGGGAAGAGGAAGAAGAGGTGAGCAGTGGACTGACGTGTTTTCGACTCGTACCATTTTCCGTTATTCTCTTTATCGTGAGTTTCAGGAACGTTTTTTTTCTCGATTCTGTTCCATACGATTCGTCTTCTGTGTTGTCGTGGGTTCCAGTCGCACCAGGCAACTACACCTATAGCCATTTTGTTATTGCTTTTGTTGTTGTTTTTTAGTGGCACTAACAAAAAGAAAAAAGTAACCAGACTGTAGCTAGTGATATGTTAAAACACACGTGTTGTTATATGCTTTTTGTTTTCTTTTTTTTTTTTGTATCGTTTCACCCAGTCCGGCTGAAGAAACATTTGTTGTTTTTTTTTTCTGTGAAACAAATTGTATGGAACAGAAAGTGGGGAAAATATCTGAGTTGTTTGTTTGTTTTTCCTGTGTTTTCGCTCTTAAAAAAATAACCAAATTATAAAAAATATCCCTTAAGAAATTGTTATCGGTTGCGGAAGAATTCTTTGTTCATTCGGAGCAGAAGAGGTTCCTGAGGGCGACATTTTTGGGGGTCGCACGACATGGATCCATTCCGGTCACACTTGCACTGTAAGCAAGGAGTGGAGAAGGGTTTCATCACTTCTCCTACGCTGTAAATCCTTCCTTCCGCTTGGCAACCTGTTATAGCAATTTGGTTTGTTTAATTGACCTTTTTTTTTTAATCTCCCAAATTAATTAATGACACAAAATATTACCTGTGACCCGTAGGGATCTCTTCCCCAGTCGACTCTGTCTCGAGGTATAGTCGGAAACGTTATAGAACGGTTTGGTAGCATCTGGAAGAGAAGAAAAAAAAGAGAGAATGACGTCTTGCCCCTGTAAAGGTGTGTTTAGTGTAAGGTAGAGAGATTATAAGGAGAAGACGAACTTACGACAAACGTAGTGAGGGCAGCAGAATCCTGGCACTTCCCTTTCGTAACACAGAGACATGGGGGGTGGACAACCCTGGTGTAAACAGATAATATCACCTCGGAAACAGAAACAGAACTCGCAAGCGTCCGTTCGAGGGATCTGTTCCGCGGATTGGTAAACGATGCCGTTAAACACGCAAGCTAGAAGAAGATAAATAGGAATTAGTGATGCGGATGATATTAGAAAAGTGTTAAGGAAATGGTAAAGTACGTCCGTTTACCTCCTTTCTGTACAAATATCGTCTCTCCTTCGGAATCTGTAAGGTAAAAAAAAAAAATAAAGTTAGTAAGCTCTCGAAACAACGATTTAAATGAAAACATTCGATAGATTCTTCACCTTCTTCGGTAGTTGTACTTGGCGTTGTTGTACTTGACGTCCAAACTGGAATCCTCTGAGTGCTGCTTGTTGTTTCTATCGAAGATTGAGTCGTAGGCTCTTCGGATATTTCTACTTTTTCGACTGTAAACAGTTCTTCTGCTGTTTCTCCGGTTATCTTATCTGTAACGATTTCCGGTTTGGCACTCTCTTCTTGTTCTGTTTCTAGTCGAACGGGCGTGGGTGTCGACCGTGTTTCCGTTTCAGTTTCGGTTGTTCGCGTTTCTTCTTGTGTGCTTTCCGTTTCCTGTCGTGTTACTTCCGTTTCAGTTACGCTTGTTTCTGTCAGTTCGAAAAACGATTGCTTCTCGGTTGTAATTTCGGTAGCGAAAGATGTTTCTTTTGGAATTTTTGTAATAGCTTCTGTTTCTAAGGAAACGGCAGTTGTTTGCGTACTTTTCTCCGTTTCTTCTTCTGCAGTTTCTGTGCTTACGCTTACCTTTGACTCTGTTTCCGTTTCCTCAGTACTTTCTGCAGGTGTGTGAACTGTAGTCTGTTCGTGTGTTTCTTCTCTTTTTACACCTTCTGTGACTTCACTTGTTTTCAATTCTTCTATACCTTCTGTGCTTGTTTCTTCTACCTTTATTGTGGTTTCTTTTTCGTGTGTCGTTTCAATATCTTCATGAACATAAGTTTGTGTTTCTGTTTCCGTTTCTGTAGTTGCCTTTGTTTCTGTTTCTGATTTCACAGATTCCACTTCGGTTTGCGCTTCAGTCGTACCTGTTTCCGATACTGTACTGATTGTTTCTTTTTTTATTTCGACTTCTGATTCTTTGACTATCTCCTCTGTTTCCTTTTCTGTTTCTTCGGTCGTCGTAGAATCTGTACGAACTGGTGTTTCTTCCGTAATATCTAATCCTCCCTTCGTCCTCTCTGTTTCTATATAAATAGTTGTTCCTTCCGTCTCTTCATGCTCTTCTTTTATGTGTTCAGCTTCTGTATGAAGTGATTCTCCAGTAACTGCTGAAAGATCTTCTTTAGTTTCTTCTGTTTCTGTATAAATTAATATACTCTCTGTAACGCTTGTTGCTTCTGTTTTTACGGAAGTTTGTGTACTTTCGCTTCTTGTTTCCTCAGTTTTTCCTGTTTCAGTTTCAACAGTAGCAGCTTCTGTCGTTTCTGGTTCCTTTGTTTCTAAGTGAATTTTTACTCCTTCTCTAAATTCTTCCTCTGTTGTTTCGGTTGAAACGCCTTCCGTGACTTCTGACACCTTCGCTTCTTCAGTGGTTCCTTCTGTGGCTTGTGATTCTTCTCTTGTGGGTTTTACACTGTCTGTGACCTCTGTTTCTTCTTTTGTTACTTCACTTTTAACGTATACTGGCGTTTCTTCTGTCGTCTGTGATTCTTCTTTCGTTACTTCTGGTTGTAGATGAATTGGAACACCTGTCGTTTGAGTTTCCGTTTCTTCTGTGCTTTCTGTTTTACGTGTCTCTTCCGTTTCCTCTTTTATTCCTTGCTCTTCAGTTTCTCTTTCCGTGCTTGTTATATAATCTGATGTTCTAGTTGTCGTTTCGGTTCTCTGTTTTGTGACTTCAGTATGCTCGTGATCAGGTGTTTCTGTCGTCACTTCCTGTTCTTTAATTTTCTCACTTGCTGTATAGATTGTTTCTTCTGTGGATGCCGTCTCCTCACCTGCCTTTCCAGTCTCTTGTGTGATTGATGCTTCCTCATCCATCTTTGCAGTTTCTTCTGTGGCTACTCCTTCCTCACCCACTTTTCCAGTTTCCTCTGTGGATGCTGCTTCTTCCTCATCAACCTTTCCAGTTTCTTCCGTGGCTATTCCTTCCTCATCCACCTTTCCAGTTTCTTCTGTGGATACTCCTTCCTCACCCACCTTTCCAATTTCTTCCGTGGATACTCCTTCCTCACCCACCTTTCCAGTTTCTTCCGTGGCTACTCCTTCCTCATCCACTTTTCCAGTTTCTTCCGTGGCTACTCCTTCTTCGCCCACCTTTACAGTTTCTTCTGTGGCTACTCCTTCCTCACTCACTTTTCCAATTTCTTCTGTGGATGCTGCTTCTTCCTCACCCACTTTTCCAGTTTCTTCCGTTGCTACTCCTTCCTCACCCACTTTTCCAGTTTCTTCCGTCGCTACTCCTTCCTCATCCACCTTTCCAGTTTCTTCTGTGGCTACTTCTTCCTCGCCCACCTTTCCAGTTTCTTCCGTGGCTGCTGCTTCCTCATCTATTTTACCAGTTTCTTCTGTGGTTACTGCTTCTTCGCCCTCCTTTCCAGTTTCTTGTGCGGATGCTACTTCTTCCTCACCCGTTTTTCCAGTTTCTTCCGTCGCTACTCCTTCCTCATCCACCTTTCCAGTTTCTTCCGTGGCTACTCCTTTCTCATCCACCTTTCCAGTTTCTTCCGTTTTTCCTGTTTCTTCTGTAGATGATACTTCTTCACTTTCCTTTTCAGTTTCTTGTGTGGATGCTGCTTCTTCACCCACCTTTCCAGTTTCTTGTGTGGATGCTGCTTCTACCTCATCCGCTTTTCCTGTTACTTCTGTGGATGCCGTTTCCTCCCCAGTTTTTCCTAATTCTAATAAACTAATTTCTGTTGTCAGCTCACTCTTTTCGGTTTCTACATAAGATGGAGTTACTTCCGTCTTCTCCATTTCTTCCTTTCTTTCCGTTTCCGTTTCTGTGTGACTTGTTTCTTCTACTTTTGAGAAAACAGAAAGAGTTGATCCCTCCGTTTCCGCTGATATCGATGTCGACTCTTCTGTTATAATCTCCTCCTCCGTCCTTTCACTTTCAACAGTGACTGTTGTTCCTTTCGTAACTTCCGTTTCTTTCTTTGTTTCTTCTGTTTCTACACCTTCAAATCTAGTTTCAGTTACAGCAGAATATTCTTTTGTAATTTCTGACGTTGTTTCTTCTGTCGTTTGTTCGCTTTCTGTGTGTGAAGCACCGTCCGTGATGGACTGTTTCCCCGTAGTTCTTGTTTCTGTCTTTTCGAAAGCTGAACTAGTTGATAAATCCAACTCAATTTCACTCTTCTGTGTGAATTCCTCAATTGTCGAGGCTTTGATTGTTGTTAATTCCTCCTTACCTTCCTATTATTATTATTTAAAATATTGTAGAGTTTGTGTTCAGTGTACTTTATATTCCCCCTTTTTTTTTATAAATGCTATATTTACACTTTCCAAAAATCCAAATGTTAATTAATATTCCAAAGAATAAAAAGTATTTTTTTTCCTGTAGTTCTCTGTTTTTTTCACTTAGTTTTGAAGCAATTTTCTTACCAAAAATTGATTATCCAAGTAAGAAATTGGNTGAACTAGTTGATAAATCCAACTCAATTTCACTCTTCTGTGTGAATTCCTCAATTGTCGAGGCTTTGATTGTTGTTAATTCCTCCTTACCTTCCTCAAATTCTTCTCTTTCAGTTGATAACTTATGTTCTCTGACCGTTTCTGTCGTTTCATCACCATCTTTTGATGCTGATGTTTCAGATTTTGTAGTACTTACAGTAGGAACTTCTGTTGTAGTCTTTTCCTCTACAGAGTGCTTCGTTTCCTCTTCCTCCTCCTCCCTGGAGATAGTCGTCGTTTCAATGATTGTGACGGGTTCCGTTCTTCTGTCTTGAATTTCTGGAGATGCTCCCGTAATCGCTTCGAAAGTAACAACAGAACTCTCTTCTGTTGTTGTTTGATCCGTAACCCTCCCCACTATCACTTCAGTAGAAGGAACACCCCTCTCGGGATGCACCTCTATCTCAGCTATTAATGAGGTAGGGCTAGGAATTAACACAGAATGAGATTTATCTTCTTTATCAGTAGAGGAAGGTGTCGAAATTTCGGTCGTATCTCTTGTCGACGAAGTCTGATCCCCTATTAAATCTATCTGTTCTCGTGTTGTAGCTTTCGAAAGAATTTCCCCAACTTCAGTAACATCTTGGGATACGATTGATGTCGAAGATAACGTTGACAAATCATCAGAAATGCCTTCTGTAGTCGATATTGTTCCACCCCTCGATTGTGCATCCGGTGATGGATGTTCTTCAGGTATCTTTCCAATTATAGATTCTTCAATCTCCGTTGTTTCGATCCCTACTGTCGTGGTTATCCTTGGTGTTTCTGATATTTCTTCATCGCTGGATCTCTCCTCTTCGGGTTTGGATGTGGTTTCTATGACAATTTCCTCTCGACTAGGTGATGCACTCTCTACGGATACTGTTTCTATTACGGTTGCTTCGGAAATCCTTGCTGTGTCCTCTGTAGCGTGTGTTGTCGTTTCAGCTTCTGATGTACTTCCTGTAGTGGATAATTTTATCTCTGGTTCACCCTTTTGTAGTGTTGTTGTTTCGACTTCTTGTGAAGTTGTCGTGTGTTGTTCTACTGTTTCGTCAGTTGAAACAGACAACGTTTCTTTTGTTTCGGTGTCTTCTGTTTCTATCGTAGGTAGTTCTGTTATCTTTACTCTATCTCTTTCTTGTAGAGTCTCTGGTGTAGTTTCAGTCACTAATCCTTCAGTTTCAACTGATTCTTCTTTTATCGATGTATCAGATGATGTTGCAGTTTCCTTTTCTTCGGGAGAAAATGTATATTTTGTTGTTTCTTCTTCTTCTTCTTCTGTTGTTTGGTCTTCCATTGAAGGAGTTGTTGTTTCTCTCTCTTCTACGGGAGGCGAATGTTCTGTTGTTCGGTCTTCCTCTACAGAAAGTGAATGTTGTTTTGTTGTTGCCCCTTCTTCTGGAAGAGGATAACGTTCTGTTGTTTGATCTTCTTCTAGAGAAAGTGAATGTAGCTTCGTTGTTTCCTTTTCCTCAGGAACAGGCGAATGTTCTGTCGTTTGTCCTTCCTCTAGAGGAAACGAATGTAGCTTCGTTGTTGCCCCTTCTTCTAGAATAAGTGAAGGCTCTGTTGTTGTTTCTTGGTGTTCAACATCAATCGGTTCTTCGGTAACAGCGTGTATAATCGACACTGTTTCTACTATACCTCCAAGTGTTGTCATCTTCTCACCCTCAGCTAAAAATAAATCATTTTAAATTCCCAACATTAAAACAGTTTAAAGTGTTATTGCATACTTACGACAATCGTACTCTTCTGGGCAACAGTCACCCTGTTTAGTTTCTCTAGGAACACATTCGGGACGAGGAGGTTTACAGATTTGCCAATGACACTGCACGTCACCCGATGCACAGTAACAATACTCGCAAATAGATGTCTTGTTTATGGTCTCTCCATCCTTATACACTTCACCATCCACGTAACAATCTACGTATAAATTACATAATTTAAAACACTTAATCATTTATTCCTCATTCCCTAATTACAAATCTTACATTACCTCCCTCCTCTTCCTCCTCTGTCTCTGTAGACGTACTTGTTCCTACTGTTGTTGTATCTTGAACCTCTCTGGATGATGATGTTGATAGGACTTCAGCATCCACGTCTTCTTCGGTATATTTTATATCGACAGTTACTGCTTCCACTGTTACGCTTTTCTCCGTAACATCTGTAACTTGGCTTTGCGTAACGCTCTTCACTTCTTCCAGTTTTTCTTCGGTGGTAGATTCTGGTTGTTCGTCAATCTGTTGGCTGGTTACTGATGTTTCTTCCACAGTTTCCGCTACAACAGTGGATTTTTCTTCAACTGTTGTCGTCTCTGCCGTTTCCCCTGTTGTTGCCGTGACAGTTTCTTCGTCCTCTATACTTTCTGACACGGTACGTTCCGTTGTAGTTGTTGTTATAATCTCTTCTTTAGTTTGATTTCTACTTGGAGGTAGATCATCGCCTGTAGTTGCATCTTTAAAAGAAATACAACACTCAAAACAATCTGCACGCGTGTTGTAAAGATTTTAAATGTACAGAAAATTCTTACCACACTCGTAATAGGGACAACATTCTTCTTGTTTAGTAATAATCCTGCAATTGGTGCTGTCCTCGGGGATAGGCTCGCATACGATAATATCGCAGGCTACAACACTGTTGTTGCATATGCAGTCCTTTTCACAGGGATGTCCAGGCAGCACGGATTGACCGTTCTGGTAGATTCCCGTAGCGTATTGGCAGTTTCCTGAAAGTGTAAACGTGTCAATCGATACCTTTGTATAATACATTATCATAAAAATGTTATTATAAACATACCTTCACCCGGTATTGTTCCTACGTGAATGGATTTTCGAGTGGTAGGATACGTCGTAACTGTTGTTTCGTCTTCTGTAGTAACTGTTTCTTCGGGAATTTCACTCGTGACTGTTGTTTCTGTAAAAGTGTAAACCTCGCTCTTTGGTGTTACTGTAATTTCTGGTATGAATTCCGTAATTCTTTCTCCTTCGTGCATTTCTGCTGTTCCCTTTTCGTGAGTCTTTTGCGTTGTTGTTGTTGTTGTTACGGGGGTACTCGAAGTTTCTTCTTTACTTGTGTATTCTGTTTCCTGTTCAATTTCGGCTGACTTTTCTGTTGTTTCTGTTAATAATTCGGTTGTCGTTTCGATTTTAGTCGTTGTTTCTATCGCTTTTGTTTCGCTCGTTTCTTCTTGTTTCCTCTCTGTTAAACGCGATTCTGATGTCATTTGGAGTTCTGTTGTCGTTTCTTCGCGTGATAAAGTGTGTTCATCCGTCGACACTTCTTCTTCCGGTGTCGTTTCTCTAATTAAAATGTCGAATGACGTAGCCTGCTGTTCCCTCGATGCCGTTTCCGTTCGTTCCTGTTCAGTTTCTGACGTAACTGTGTATACTTCCGTTTCTCCTTCCTTGGCTGTAGTGTGAATTGGCGTAGTGACGTGAGGCTCGTCAGTAGTGATGTCAGTGGCCACCACTTCCATTCCTTCTACAAAAGAATGCATATAATTTCGTTCAGTTACGTTTTAACTCAGCGTAACAGCTTAATTAACATACTTACGACAATCGTATCTATCGGGACAGCATTGTCCATTCGATTTCGACAACGGAACACATCCTTCACCCGGAGCGTGACATTTCTCCACGGCACACACCACCGAATCTCTCATACAGTAACAATGATTACAGGGATCTTCAGATTTAACACGTTCCCCATCGGCGTACAAGTGACCATTGACTATGCAACCTGTATTTTGACGAAAAACACACGAAAATCGTGAGCCAAACAATGGTTTAACCCCAAAACTCACGTGATCGAAAACACTCACCCGTTGGTTTATCCGTAGGCGCGGGTCCAGGGGGTCGAGTAGTGGCTACGTAACGAGCTGTTCCAAACAAAACACGGGATTATTTTAGTAAATTCGAGTATAAGTACATAATGGAGGGGGGTCCTCCGGGTCACGTGAACAACCCCCTCGAAACAACAAACAATGGAAACAAGGTGACAAAGCTTAACGAGGCACGAATATGACCCCGTGATTACTTACAGCAATTGTAACGTGAGGGACAACACGAAGGTTCACGATAGACGGGGGTACAACCTTCCACTTTCAGTTCACATTCCTGCATCACGCAAGCGCTGCTATTTCGTATACAATAACAAACTTCGCATGGTTTATCAGGATTCCGTGGGAGCTGAGCACCGTCAGGATAAGCTTCACCGTTGAAGAAACAACCTGTTTTGTTGTACAACAAAATTCCCTTAGAGCTACCAAACCCTCTATTTAGATAATAAATGATAATCATTACCTTAATAGTACGTCATTAGATAATCCTAAAGGGTAAGTCTAATATGTAATCTCTTAAACTAACCAATCGATACGATAAGTATCCTTAATTATGTACTGTAAGGATGTAAATGTAAGGATGTTCGTAACTTAATAATAATAAATGGATCGAGATGAGTAAGCTAATGGAGAAATTAGAGAAAATTATCAGATGATGAGAATATGTGCAAGAAAGGCGAGGAAGTGCTCGCGAGGATGGGCAGGGCAGGTAGGAAATGTTAGTGAGGATGTGGAGAAAAGGTGAGAAAATGCTGGCGAGGATGTGGAGGAAAGCGAGAAAATGCTAGCGAGGATGTGGAGAAAAGGTGAGAAAATGCTGGTGAGGATGTGGAGGAAAGCGAGAAAATGCTAGCGAGGATGTGGAGAAAAG